ATACGGTACGATTCCGTGTTAGATTAAAGATTGCATAATAAGTTTGATTACTATTAACCAGAGAAGTTCATAGTGTGCTCAAAGTGACAGTACCTCCTACTCGCCAATAACGTGACTTCGTGACACGATAACTCTTTGATCATTGACAGCTAGTACATATTGCGTAGCTTTAGAAACTGAATTTAAATCATATGTATAATATGATCATCAAACATTTGCTTATAGTAATTTGATCGAATCAATCGTACTCCCAGTCTCTGCGAGTACTCGTTGAAAGTTCAACTGGTTTTGTTCACCTGTTGACGCAACAGATTAGTTTTCCTGAGTTTTTTTTTTTTTTTTTTAGTTCTTTTTTCCCATCGATTATCGGGAATACGATCGACCGATTGATAGAAAAGATTGTACTTAACATAATCGAAATGGTTTGTGCAATATGGTTTGACATGGTTTTCTTTCCCATTTTTTTCCCCCCCAATTTTAGTATCGACAGGCAGCATCACGGATGTGGATCGACGGGCATTGGTATGTACCACAGCCCCATACTACTCCCGGCGAATTAGCATGGTTTGTAGCTTGTTTTGCATATGAATTACATTTAACATTGCATTATTTTATCACAGCCGCGCATTGATCGTAAAATTAGACACTTGCGTGAGTTCTCGAGACACGGATGGTTTGCATAAAACTGAGAAAACTAGTGTCGGCAGAACGAATCGTTCGACTAGGTCGATAGGATTAGACTATTATTTGTACATAACGAGCGGTTTGCCGATTTGTTTATATACGTGTATAATATAATGTTTGTACATACGAAATTGTATATTTGATTTACGCATGCACACGCTGTATATTTGCTACGTTATTTATTTTTTTTTTTTTACTAGTATTTATTTTTTTTGCATCTTTCTGTACAATTTTTTTCTTGCCTTGGCATACTTGAATTTTGCATATTCGATTTGGTATTTTGCGAGAAGGATCGCACACGATCGCGAGATTTTAGCTGAACGTTTGCTATGTCTTTTGATACAGTATACAATACCGAAGGTTGAATCGGCTTGCTGATTCTTTAGACCAAATATATACGTAGCTTGTTATTTTCTTTTGTTTTCTCCTTACGATAACACGATGTGAGTTCCCTGTGTAAAAATCGCGGTATTCGACTGCGTGTGAAAACTTGGAAAAATAATTGAAATCTTGAATCAACGTTAACGTGACTGCTGACGCGTACTTGCGGTGTTCTCACGACTTGATTGCATATTCTGCATCCGAGGCATAATCCACTGCATTCAAAACAGAAAGCGGAACTATATGCCTAAACTGAAATTAACGTGCATGAGATTGTGCGTGTGTGACGCGTGTCTCGCTGGTTTTTTTTTTTT